AGAGAGAGAGAGAGAGAGAGAGAGAGAGAGAGAGAGAGAGAGAGAGAACAGGTGTATAGACGATTGATAATAAAATTCAGGGTTGGGAATTTAGCCCAGTGGCAGAGTGCTTGCCTAGCAAATGCTCAGCTCCAAGAAAAAAAAAAGGTGCAATAAAGATAAACAATGCATGAACTAACTAGGTATAAAGAGTAATTGGGGGTAAAGAGAAGGGACTTAAGGAGACCATGGGAACGCAGGTGCTGACTTTTGAACACAGGCCTGAAGGATACAGTGTCAGGCAGCGTGTGCAAGACATGACTTTGAGAGGGCAGACATAAACTAAATATGGTATTGGAGAGTATAGGGTTACTGCTGTGGAGAACCCAGTGGCGTCGCAGTGCCGAGGTGGAATTGAAAGGGAGAGAAGGGTAAAAGGCATTTCCAGAGGTAGCCCAGGCTAGAATGAGAATAGCTTTGATAGCCTTAGGAATTCATTTCGTCCCTGGGGATGACTGTGGAGGAGGCAGATGGCTACAAGGTTAAGTCCGCAGGCCCTGGAGACAGGTGGATTGGAAGGACCCTTTATTAGCCCTGGGGCTGACTTCATCCAGCCTCAGTTTCTGTCATCTGTCATCTGTCAAATAGTGGTAATCACAGGATTGTTCTGGACTAGAGTGGGAGAATGTGTGTAAATTGATTAGTTCAGTAGCTGCAGGCTTTGGTTATGATAGAGGGGAGAGTATGAAGCCCTTTATCTTAATTCTGACCAACAGGGATAGAAGTATAGACCGTAGTTGATACCTCTTGAAGCTACAAGAAAATGTAGAACATATATATATCATTTAAAATTGAGAATTTTATACCTATAAAAAATGAAATATGATTATACCTATCTCTTATCTCTCCCCTGCAATGATTTATCTGAGATTGTGTCTCACTGTATAATTCTGGCTGACCTGAACTTGCTGTTTAAGACAGTCTGGCCTTGGACTCAGACATCTGCCTGCCTCTGCCTTCCAAGTGGATGGGTTTACAGGCTTGTGCTATCACACCTGGATCTTTTACTTTAAAAAAAAATTTTTTTTTATGTGTTTGGGTGATTTGCCTGCTTGCATAATGTCTGTGCACTATGTATGTACCTGGTGCCTGCAGAGGCCAGAAGAGAATGTCAGATCCCCTGAAACTGGAGTTACAGCTCATTGTGAGCCTTCATATGGGTGCTGGGAATTGAACCTAGGTCCTCTGTAAGTGTAGCCAATCCTCTGCAGAGCCATTTCTTCAGTCCCTAGGCTTTTAAAGAAAAAAAAAAAAAAACCCACTAAGTCCAACTAGTGCAGCCCCTATGTGCATGAGTGTCTTGACTGTCCACTGGAGCAAGGGCAGCTTACCAGGGACCTCTCCAAATGCATATAAAAAGTTGATTTTACATGTATGAGTGTGTGCATATACATGTGCACAACATACATACCCGGTGTTAGACACAGGGCATTGGATCCCCTTGGACTAGTGTTACAGATGCTGTGAGCAGCCATGTAGGTGCTAGAAACCCTGGTCAACAAGTTTTAACTGCTGAAACGTCTCTACAGCCCCATAACACGTGTGCGCACACGTGTTTGTGTTTGTGTGTCTGTGTGTGTAAGATGAGTGTAGTTGAAAGCATATGGTTTGTTTTTAGTAAAATCACTTGTGGTTGTAGTGCCCCTGGCTACCCATATACCCACCAGTTTCTTTCTAGGTGACTAGCAGCAATTTGATGGCGGTGGCTCCTCATTTATCGCTGTTGAAAGTTACAGATCGTGGCGTTCACACTCTTTCCTTCTTGTTTTAGCTGTCCTGGATAATGAGAGGCTCACCGCAGAGGAGATGGATGAGAGGAGACGGCAGAACGTGGCGTATGAGTACCTTTGTCATTTGGAAGAAGCGAAGAGGTACAGAGGGACTAATTGGAGAGTAGATTGGGAGAAGGAACTGACGTGACGTGCCTTTAAAAAGATTGGCTTTTGTTTATGTGTGTGTGTTTTGGTACCCGTGTGTGGCTGCCAGTGGAGGTTAGAAGGCGTAAAATCTTCCTGGAGCTGGAGTGACAGTCACCTGATGAGGGTGCTGACAGCCCAGCTCGGGTCCTCTGAAAGAGCAGCAAGTGTTCCGAGGTGCTGAGCCGTCTCTCTCTCCAGCTCCACAGATGGCTCGTTGTGTGCATTATATTTTAGGTAAGCGTGTTGGAGGCTGGTAGTTGAGAGGATAAGTGAACAGGGTAAGTGTAGAGTGTTCATTCACGGGAACAAGTGGTCCACGGTGGTTTATTTATGATGAAACACTTGTGCATACTGAAAAGATTTCCGGATTTGTGTTTTTCAGCTTTTCTGTTTATAGTGGTTGTTTTGGGTGCTGCCAACTGTCTGTCCGAAATAACGTGTTAAGTTAGGGTTTGATGCCAGGCAGTGGTGGCACATGCCTTTAATCCCAGCACTTGGGAGGCAGAGGCAGGCGGATTTCTGAATTCGAGGCCAGCCTGGTCTACAGAGTGAGTTCCAGGACAGCCAGGGCTACACAGAGAAACCCTGTCTCGAAAAACCAAAAAAAAAAAAAAAAAAAAAAAAAAAAAAGTTAGGGTTTGATGTTCCTGATCTTAATGGTTTCTAATTCTTCACAGGTTTTGGTTTGTGTACTGAGCCCCATCTCCTTGTGGCTCATGGAGTGGGTGTTAGGTTTAGGGGGCTGATAAGGATGGAGCTGAAAGGGGCTGAGGATATACCTTAGTGGGAAAGTACCTGTTGAGTGCTCAAGGTCCTGGGAGACACCCAGTGCCAGAAGAAAACTGCAGAACTTTTGTAATAAGGGTAGTGCCGTAGGTATAGATCCATCCATCGACACCATTGAGTGGCCTTTCTGCAAACTTAATGCTGCCACACATTTTTTTTTTTGAGATGGGGTCTCAGCCCTAGGCTAGCCTCAGACTCATTCTGTTGCTGAGGCCTGTCTGGTCCTCACAACAGCACCTCCCAAGTGCTGAGATTACAGACATGTGCCGCCACACCCATCTCCTCTGCTGTTTATCTTTCCAGATATCTCAAGACCTTGTGATCTTAATTTTAGGGTGTCAGTTTGTTATCAGTGGGTTTTTTTTTTTTTGTTGTTGTGTTGCTTATATTTCTTTGCAAGGTTCCAGAGTAGATAAACACAATTACAGGTCGTGTACACTGAGGAATAATGGAAGATAATTGTCATCTAGGTTTAATGAAAATCAGGAATGTTTCAGATGGGGCTGATTAAAACAAGAGTGGAGGTTTGATTTGGTTGTTAAGAGCACGCCAGGAAAGTCAACAATAAATCCGCGTTCCTGAGCCCAGGAAGCCCCTCAGAGCTTCCCTTTCTCTAAAAATGACAAAAGCAGCCCCAGTTATGGTCCCTTGGTGCTTCTCCCTGGACTCCTTATAAGAGTGAAGCAGCAGGTTCCCTGGAACTGGAGTTGAAGGAGATTGTGAGCCACTAGGAGTTCCTAGTGCTAGGAATGGGGCCTGGCTCTTAACTCCAGAGCCATCTTCTCTGTCCTGCGTTGTGCCTTCCCGAGTCTCAGCTGCCTCTTGGAGTTTAAAGCCTTTTCAGAAAGTCAGAGAAGGATACTAGTGGTGAGGTAGGTGAGGATTATCCATGATGACCCCAGTCTTCCCCAGTCATTGCTGCTGTCTCCTCCTCCTCCTCCTCCTCCTCCTCTTCCTCCTCCTCCTCCTCCTCCTCCTCCTCCTCTTCCTCCTCCTCCTCTTCCTCTTCCTCCTCTTCTTCTACCTCCCTCTCTTCTTTTTCCTCCTTCCCCCTCCTCCTTCTCTTCCTCCTCTCCCTCCTCCTCTCCCTCTTCCTCCTCCTCCTTCTTTTTGTTTTTTTGAGACATGGTTCTGTGTGTAGCCTTGGTTGTCCTAGAGTTCACTCTGTAGACCAGGCTACCCTCAAACTCAAAGATCCACCTGGTTCTGACTCCTGAGTGCTGGGATAAAAGTTGTGCACCACCACTTTCTGGCTGACACTGGTCTTCTAAGTGAAAGTTTATTCCGATAGTTTTGGTAGTGCCAGGGTATGAAGCATAAAGAACATTTGCTGTACCATTTTCTTTCCCCACTTAATGGGAAACGGCACTGCAGGTAGCAAGAGAAGGTACTGTGAGAAAGGGGACATTTTCTCCTAGGAAGTTTGTAAGTGGATGCAAACACTAAGTCCTCTGACACTTAAATTGTGAACCCGTTGTGGAAGGTCAAGGAATCTTTAAGCTGCAGCTGTTCTCAGAAGCAGTCCCGCGCTCCCTGGAGCCATTGGGAATGAGGAGGAAGACACCAGCTTGCTGAGTGTCTCTCCTACCTGTGACTCTCCTGCTTGGATTTCTCCTGTGACATCACCATTTTACAGTGTGACACTGACATTTACATCTTACCTTTCAGTCACAGGTCCCCAGAGCATATTGCCAGTATCTACTGTGACATTGCTATACCACTAGTCTAGCTTAATGTTTGACTTTTCCAGAAGTCCTAGGGATTTGAGCCTCATGCCTGATAAGTGCTGGGCAAGCACTCTCTACCACTGGGCTACATTCTTAGCACAAGGTCAACTTCTGTCCAGACTAGCCATTCATTTCAATGAGGAAACCAAGGTCTGGGCTTTCTTAGTCTACCTGTAGCTTCTCTTTTAGGGGTAGATGTCATGTAACCTAGGCTGGCCTGGAGTTCACAATGTAGCTGAGGATGACAGAAACCATGAGCCCCATGCCAAAGTTGCCTGTCACCCCACCTGGCTTCCCAGAGTTTCCTGGTTAAGGAATGTTCATTGTTTGTGAAGTGGTCCTTAACTGGGTGTGTGGTATGTGCATTAGAATCTCTTGCGAAAGTTTTTACAGATGCAGATAATCTGGGTTTTACTGTCAAACACTTGAGTAAGTGTTCTACTGCTGACCTATACCGCAGTTCCATACCTAAATATTTCAAATGCCTTTGGTGATTTAGATCGTCTTTCTTACCCTAGTTGAGAAGTAGGATATTCATACTTTTAACACATTTAAATTTTTTGAATGGTTTTTAGACCATAACCTCTTAGGGAGTTAATGATGCTCTTAACATTTTTCTTTTCAGGTGTAGTACTGGTAATATTTTATTTGCAGTATTTTAGAGCGTGTACTTCCCAACAGGCGTGTTTTCCAGTATATAAAAGTAGCCTGTTTATATAACCCATCCAGAGACCATTAGTCCTCGAAGGATTTTTCAGTTGGTTGTTTGCTTTAGGAAGTAACGTAGGCAGTAAAGACATTTGTGATAGTCTTTGTTTATTTATTTCTTTTAAGCTTTGGACATAAAAGCTGTGCTTTGCCTTGTTGTATCCTGGCATTGTGGAAGTGTTGCCTGGTTTATTTTAGGAAGTAAATGGTATCAAATTTGAATTCTGTACTATTCCCCCCGCCCACCCCCAACATTCAACAACCACTCTGATTAGAAAATTGTTTATGGAAGTATCTAAACTGTGACTAGAGAGAGCCGAGAAACTTGGTAATGTTATGGTAGGACAAGAGGACTAGTATTTCTACCAGTCACCTAAGGTGATGCCTGCTGGCCAATCAGCAGCAGCCAGGACTTCCTCTCCCTGCCCTGTGCCTCACCTGGGCGGCTGGGTTGTGTCTGTATGCTCCTGGGGCTCATCTTCCCCTCTAGCAAAAGCCCAAGTTGCCTTTTTGGATTGGCCTGGTCCTGTTTCCTCCCAAGTTGGAGGAGCCCCAAGGTCTGGGGTTTACATCAAGTTGGAGCCAGGAATAAAGATGAGCGAGATCCAGGGGAGAAAGGCTCCCTCTGCACTTCTATTTATGTCACCTCTGCTCCTCCTACCGGAGGCCCCGCCTTCAGTACAGAGGCACCATTGTGTGTCCTGGGGCTCTGTTTCTCCTGTACCTTTCACAGAGTTTGTTCTTGGGGAAATGAGGAGTTTGGAGAAAGAGATTGAATGCCTGGAGATGGTTGTGTGTCTGTGTCTCTGTGTGGAGAGGATGCTGCAGGTATGGGTTTGGGTTCATGGTTTCCCCAAAGGTTAAGTGAGGACATCAAGTGTGGATTTCACAGAAGTGTGTACTGGGAATGGTTGAGAATGTAATGCAGGGATTTCTGCTTTATTGTTTGAAAAGTGGCTTCAGCATGGAAATTAAGCTGACGCTCTAATAAAATATTTTAGAATGCTAAAATACAGCAGAGCAAAGACTACCAAAGGATGCCTTTTAGCACTTCCATTTATTTCTTTACTTATTTATGTATGCATTTATGGCTGTTCTGATTGGGCTTGACGTTTAGCTAGGGAGTAGCTGTACTAGAGAGGAATGCCGTTTCACCCTGTTGAAGGAGGTGACATTGACATGTGAGGTATGTAGGTACTCGGGTCCTGAGACAAGAGAACGTAACAGAGAAGGATCAGAAGGTGGCTTAGGGAGAAAAAGAAAAGGAGCCAAGAGAGAATGTATTAGGTAGGTCAGAGGAGTGCAGAGAGTATTGTGTGGGTTTGCAGGTGAAGGAAAATTCAGTTAGGTTACAGGTCACACGAAGACAGTTCATTCTGGGACTCTTCAATAATCTATCTAGTCCCCTCTTTCAGGGCCTCTCTGGTGTATCCCTTTGAGTCTTCCCTGGGCTGCCTCCTTCCTGAGCACTCATACCCCAGCTTGCGGAGTGTGGACACTCCCAAACTCCCCTTGTAGAAAGGCAAGTACACACTGGCTGGTTGGGGATTGTCAGAGACTACATGATGTTAACAAGATCTTGGCATTAATTGGAAGCACTTTATTTCAGTTGAGGGGAACTGAAAAGGTATTTTGGAAAGAAAATAGCTTTTGAAAACAGATTCTCTTTTGTGTGTACATCTTTGCTGTTGGCATAGAACATTTTCTGGGCTGGCCTCTTGAGATGCCTCT